CCCCCTCTGAATCTCTCTCTCTTTCTTAAAATCAAATCAGGATCTGCTGAAAAACATAGATGGTCACAAAAAGGCATTCCATGAGATCCACGGGGCCAGGTCTGTTAACGGAGTGCCTGTTCCACCTGACCAATTAGAGGATATGGCAGAGAGGTAAGGCTTTCAATCTGAAATAAAAACCCTCTGTGAATGAAAGGGATCCTGTTTGCTTTTTAATCTGTTTGTGTAGTAATCACTATGTTTCTCAGCGGCAGGCTTGAAAAAATTGGAAAGAAAAACCTCCTAGAATATACATAAAAATATACTGAAAAAACTGATGCTTTAAAGATTGATGAGAATCAAAATAGGCTATGGGTTTTGGAAGGGAATACTTTTTTACATTAATCCTGTTATTACTTGTCCCTGGAAGAAATGTTATGTAACAACAGCTGGGATGCATGTGAAAAAAGAAAAGAAAAATGACTTTGCAAAACTTAGTAACAGATGTAAACTGATGATTTCTATGAATAAACAGAAATGTAATTAATTCGCTATTCAAGAGCAGTCATCAGAGCTATTGTCATGCATATTTAAAGGTGAAAGATTAGAAAAATTTCTGAACTGTAACTAAGGCTTTCAATCTTTCCTGCAAAAATGAATATTGCTGTATTTTACTACAGTGTGATTCATTTTGTAGGTTTAATTTTGTTGTCTCTTCATCTGAGCTCCATCTGTTGAAGATGGAGTTTCTGGAACTGAAGTACCGTCTACTGTCACTCTTAGTCCTTGCCGAATCAAAGTTAAAATCATGGATTATCAAATATGGAAGGCGAGAGTCGGTGGAACTACTTCTTCAAAATTATATTGTAAGTTGAGGTTGTCATCTTCTTTTTATAATTATTTTTGAAATATTGACATATAAGATTGCTGGAAATGAATAAAAGAACAGAAACAGAAATGAGACTTGCCAGTTGTTGACTTTATGACTGCATTATTATGGAATATATTTTCAGAGGTGAATTTGTCTTCACCATGGAGGAATTTTAGTCAAAAGGCAGAAAATGAAAGTGATTCTTTTTGCACCATTTCTTCAAAAACAGAAATAATGTCCCGGCTGCTAACTGTCTGACCATCAACTTACCAAGCATGTGTGGAGGTTCCAAATCCTAGATTTTTACCTACCTTAGATAGCAATTCCAAAGAACTTAATTTCATCTTCTTTTACAACTGCATAATGCACTTTATAGTGACTATACACAGATTAAGTGTAGAGATAGGGGAGGTTTTTGGCATGCACTTCCCCACACTGCTTCTTTTTAAAGTCTTCCAAATTAAGGAGAGAAAAAAAAAAAGTTACACTGCTTCTGTGTACTTGTTCAATGTAATATACTGATTCGGGAGTCATTTTATTCTTTTAAAGAATGTTTTTTTCTTCTCTGCTCAGCATTAGTATATTAAACCCATTAGTTTATCTCTGTTCTGGAAAGAGATTGCTCCAGCTCTGCATCATCCATATATCTTGTTAAGAAACAGAGACTATTGACTTACAAATGCTCATTGATATGTTTCCTTTCAGTCTTATGCTACTGTATCTTGTTAAATCCACACTTGGAGTGCCAAGTGGCTGGTAGAACCATGCCACTGCTGCACTTCTACATTAGAGAGTGAAGGATTCTTTCAAAAGCAGGGCTGGGCTAAGTACTTTTTACCCTTCTATCTAATTCATACAAGGAAAATTGCACAGGAAAATTCAGTTTAGAAAGAATTCATACAGTTATAGAACCATTCGGAGCCAAGACACTGTGTAGAGAAAGTTACTGATGCCCCCATAGCCTGGTAGTTTTTATTGCTTTGGAAGCAGTCAAAGTTCCTCTACAAAGTGAGAATTGGAGACCTGTTCACACTTTTCCCTTCCTGTATTTAAACTGGCAGTTAAGGACATATAAAAATTCAGGAGTTAAGCCTTGCAAAATTCAGATGGTTATTTAAAATAATATAATTTGCTAGAGTGGTGTGCAATAGCTAGTAGCCATAGTCCATTTGTATACTCTCTAAGACTGTCACAAAAAACACTGAAAGGTGACAAGGGAAATAATGAGGAAGTGGATAGCTTGACTTTTGGATTGTTACTTTATATCACTTTCTTATTTTTTGCTGTAAAATGAACGTTAAATGGTGAATTGTATGTTATTTTGTGATTGCCTCAATTATTCTTGTGCTTTAGACTGCTAATGCTGAGATGGTCATTAGGGAAATGAAAATGCTTCCTTGCATCATTTGTGAAACTACATCACATCCAAATGAGGAAATGGGGACAAGAAGATAAATAGAGCTCAGTTTCATTCCTGGTGGCCTTGTCTTCTGGCTCCTTCCAGGTGTCCAGTGATGGAAAGAGACTTATTTTCTTTGGCTTATCTAGGAGCAATTTTCTAGTATCAAGAGCCAAGTATTACTCTTCCAGTAAATTACATAGGAAAGCTGTAGTCAATACGTTATAGCCAGTGACTATATTAGGAGGAGATAAAAATGTAGCTTTGTTTGTCTGCCAAAGCAGACTGAGCAACGTCAGCATTCTAGGAATATGCGTAGTTAGGATCAAGATAGAACATATGCCTGGAAAATATTTGTGTACTGTAGCTCAGAAAGAAAAGTGGTGGTTGTTACTTTATCCCATCTCCTTTTCATCTGTCTGTCATATATGACCAGTACAGGTCTGTGTAAATTGTACACCGTCAACCTGCAGAACATACTGTACCAAAGTCTCAGCTATAATGCAGATACTGGGTACAGCTATCCATGGATTTTAACCCACGGAACTGTTTTGGCATTGCTGTATTAACACATTTTTTGGCACTGTATGCTATACAGATTTGGGAAAAGCTACATAGTTTCTTTAAGAGACCTTGTCAGATGGAAGACAGTATTAATCAGTAAAATGTCTATATTTAATTTTTGTAAATATTTCCAATTTTTCTTGAGATCAGTATTATGTAAGTAGTTCAGTCTTTTACTTTCTCACATGAAGTCTTGCATTTTTTGGTTCAGGATAAAATGTCTTTGTGTATGGGTTTTGCAAAAGTGAAAGTCAGAAGTTTGTCACATAATTCATGGTAAAGCATTTAGTTCTTTATATATGTTAGGTATTTCTTTTGACAGTAGAGCAGAGAAAAATTCTGATTGTCCTTGACTTCTAGTTTCCTTGGTTATAAACATATTTCTATATTATATCCTCGATAACGGTGGTGATTTGACATAGCAACTGTTAAAGGTTTTAAAATAGAAGAGTTTTTAGATATGTACTGGCTGGCAGATTAATTTTTAAAACTGTTTTTCGTATATAAGGTGGGTTGATGAATACACAAAATCTAATCCTCCTCTTCAAAATACATTGAGCTTTGACCTCATTTGAAACCTGATTTTACCAAAATTACACTAGTACACATAGAATTTTGTCTATTCTGACATTTCAAAGCTTGTATAGATATATGTGAGATGTACTTGCTTTAATTTTGTAGATCTGTAACTGAGAAGGCAAGGGAGGTGGTATAAGTTACTAAACCATTCCAAAACTCTAGATAAGTACATTAGGTAAGGCAATATAAAGCCCTGTTAAAAAGCAGGCTTTTCTCCCTTTTTTAACAGTGGTAATGCAAAATATAATATGCTTGCATAATATAGAGGTATAATTATGTATCACACTTAAAGGAAGTAAGATTTCTGAAAGACATTTAAAAAAAAATCAATGTCGTTTGCTATAAGGGATAAAGAGGCATGAACTGTAAAGAGCCATAACTTTGTGACCAAAATATTTCCATTCATTGCACTATAACTCATTACACAGCTATAACATCACTCACAAAGGAAAAGCACTCTGTCACAATTAGGAAAAGCGGCATCTCTTTGTGCAGTGTTTCCTTAATCTTATTTTTACCAATTACAAAGGAGGTAAACTGAGGGATAAGTCAAATGTTTTTCATTGAAACCTGCCTTTCTGCAAAGGCTTAATACAGGAACAATTTTTCAAGTTTAACTGGATTTGGTTTTTGTGGTGACCTATATGGATGAAATTTTCTCTTTTATTAAAAAGATTCCACTTAGGTGTCAGTGTAAAACAATTTCCATTAAAAAGCTTTTAATTGCTCAGTTTCTGCGCATTCAAAGTATCATATGCTAGTGAGTTTCAGCAAGTCAGCAACTAGCAAACTAAGAACGTATTAAATAATAGAATAGAATAGAATCACAGAATAGAATCATTAGGTTCTTTCCATATTCAAAGTAAATAAACTGTATTTGTAAAGGGAGACTCAGCTGTACCATTAATTTGAAAAGGTGAAATTTATATATTATTTTATGGTGGTGATAATTTAAGCATCATTTTATAATGCTGAAAAAAAATGAATGGAGGAATAATGAAGTTAAAAGTTGTCATCACTGTCCTGATGTAATTTGATGGAAATTATCCTTATGCATAATATCTGTCTTTATTTTGTCTGTTGTAATATTTTTTTATTTTCAGTCTGTTATTGAAAACAGTAAGTTTTTTGAGCAGTATGAAGTTACTTACCAGATCTTGAAAAGAGCAGCTGAAATGTATGCCAAAGCAAATGGCTCAGGTAAATGCCTATGTTTCTTTCATCATGGGAACACTGTTTGAATCTCTTTAGACACAAATATCCTCTAAAAAGATCTTTTAATATTTATTTATTCCATGCAGCAGAGCTGTTAAGATTTCATAAATCTCCTGAAGAGGGTGGTTGTGTTCAGATGTGCTAACTTCTGGATTTTTTCAGTGTTGTTGATTTGGGCCAAAAGTGTTCCAGAGACCAGATTAGGAGTAGGGAAGATCATGTTCTGGTGCCTGGAAATGCTCCCTGGCTTGGCTTCATTTACTAGAAAAAGACAAATAGAGAGTTGGCCCCGGTGTTGTAGTAGCAAAAGTATCCCGTGATTTACTGAAGGTTCTTCATTACTTGTGAAAACCTATAAGAGGAATCCAAATGATAGTTGAAGTGTGGATATACATGAGGAAAACGTGTAGCTGATTCAACAGCTGCCTCCTGTAATTCCTGGACACTGCTGAGTTGAGTGAGAATATGAGGGCAATGTTTGACCTAGATAGTTACAGATGTGGAATCACTTTAATCTCTGCTGGGGAGATAACACAGTCATGGCTGTGGAGGACTGCTGCAGCTGCTAAAGTGGTTAGCAGATGTGGAGAGAAAATAGATATCTTTTTTGTTGTGAAACTGAAGTTGATGATGATGACACTCAAATTTTACAAAAGTAAACAATTTTTACAAGGTGTTCTTACAAAGAATAAAATCAATAGATTTATTCAATGCTATTAAAAATTCAATAAAAATATTTTCTAAAGGGCAGCTACTTGCTTGTATGAATTCAGAAACAGCAGTGCAATTAGAGAACATATTAGCTAAAAAATGTTCTTTAGATTATCTATATTCTGCATGTTTTGTGAAGTCTCAGGATTTGCTTCGGTCCATTTGCTTCTCTCTGTTATTTTCTTCTGGAACGAGGATGCACTTGTTCCCTTATTTGCCACAAGAAATGTACTAAAAATTAAATGTCAAAAACTAGCAGCAATTTGGTTTTAAAGTCGGTGGAAGTAAGATCAGAATTTAATTCAGTACTTTTCAATGCAGACATAGTATCTGTTTGTACATTATACATCTCTATTATTTTCTGCTTTTTTAAGGAAACGTTCTCTCTGATTTCTTTTATTGCAGATTAGAAACAAACACCACACTGAATATGCAGTGTGATCATTTTAGTATAGCATTCATTTTACGTACTTTCCTTAATTCACATTTACTTTCTTTAGTGCAAATTTCTGTTGTAATTTTGCACTAAAATTGATCTGTGAACTGAGCATATGTATATAAAAGCCTACTGAAATAGAAGTTGCAGTAAAATATAATTCCTTGCTGGCAATGGATAAGCATAACATAAAATTAAGCTTTACAGAAATAATAATGAACCAAAATAATCTATGTCTTTCCTGTATGTCAGTGGAAGAAGTTGAGAATGTGATGAAATTTATGAATGAAACAACAGCACAGTGGAGGAACCTCTCAGTAGAGGTGAGAAGTGTAAGAAGCATGTTGGAAGAAGTAATTGCTAATTGGGACAGATATAGCAGCACTGTGGCAGGTCTACAAGCTTGGCTGGAAGATGCGGAAAAGATGCTGAATCAACCTGAACATTCCAAAAAGGTATGAACTAATAGCATATGTATCTCGCTATTTTGTAAATTATGAAATGCGGGATATGTTTTTGCTTAGATTGTTTTACAAAATGTCATACAAGAGGGAGAAATTTTTTCAGTTTCTGGCATACTGTCTATATTCATCATAGGTGTTTCAATGGACGCATGTGTAGCATGTACAGACATATACATACACACATGCAGCGAAGGAAGGCATAATCTGTGATTACATGGTTAGAGGCATCTTTAACATGAATACAGGGCAACAGTGTTGTTCAAATATAGGAATGTCACATGATTCACTCAAAGGCAAATATAGCTCTTAACATCAAAGTGTATAGTCACGTGCTGCATATAAAGACACTTAAAGAAAATTATTTTTTCCACGGATTTTTCTACTATATAGGTGACAGATTCCAATATTAGTTGCTTCACAAGACAATATTAATAATATGTGTTGTTACGTTTGATGGGTAAGTAGTTAATCCATTTCCCTGGCATTTAAAAATCTTTTAGATAGTTCCATTTGGGGACCTACACTCGGCAAGATATCTTTTTCTTCTGTTCTAGTATTAGAGTACTGAAGCATTAAGATTTGTGTTCGTGAAACTTCAATAATGATCCAAATTGACTTGAATAATACTGCATTTAATAGGTGCTACATTTTCACCCAACCCCAACGTATCAGCTACACAGCTTTTAATACTGAAGTATGGTTTTCATAGGTTGTAAAATGTCAAACTGACATCAGTTCAGGAATGAGCATTTCATTTTACATGACAGAATGGTATAATTTTTGGTAAAAGTTTGTTAATTTAAATTGATACGAAAGAATGTAATACACTTTTTAAATAAAAATAACCCTATGGAAAGGATTCAATAGTCTGGCATAATATAAATACCAACAGTTATTATTACTGAGCAGAAAGGATGACCCTAGCTGGTCAGACTGATCTTAGCTCCTTGTGTATGTTTTATGTAAGTAACTTGGCAATGTTTAAAGTGAAATATTCTTTTATCAATATATAAATAAAATAAAAATATTTACTTCTCTTATCAGTTTTGTAACTTTACCTTTAAAGATTTTCAAAGCAGAAATCTGAACAGATCCATACAGTATATACTTGCTTCTGATTTCTAACCTAAATCCAACAAGTATTTCAAAAAGCTATGTTGAAAACCTTAGACGTGAAAGCATTATTCTTCCCAGAATGCTAATTTCTTCTTAAAATTACATTGGCTTAAAACTGTTAAAGATCACCGAGAGGTAACATAAACCATCTGTAGGCTGAGATACATAATTTAAAAGTTACTTCTACTATTAATGTTGAATTTAGCACTCCACAGCACTAATGGTCACTTAGATAGTTCCAAGGATAGTTCTGATTTAGCAGTTTTAATATTTGGTTATTAAAGCCAAAAGCAATACTTACGTTAGTTTCTACAATTGAAAGTCTTATAGCCATCAGCCCAAGCATCTGGAATCCCAGATGAAAGATGATAACTGTTGTTTGGAATATGGCATAAAACTTTTCTAAACATTTCCAAATGTTTGTTCTGTAAAACCACAAATATAACAGTAACATGATACAAAGATTTCATAGATGATCATTTGCAACCTTACCTGCATTACTTAAATCCACCATGTTCCATCCTAGGCAAAGACCATTGTAGCCCCTTACCATGCTGTCATGCTTTTTTCTTCTTTCCATTGTCTCTGTATGATTTCAAGATCAGCAAGTACCACGGTTATTTTTGCAAAAGAAAATGATTTGTTGGCTTTCTGATTGGTTTCTGTTTTCAGAAACCTTATTTGTTGCACAGATCTGCAAAAAAGATCAGTATGCACTTGGATTTTTCTACTGCAAAGTACTAGAAATTTATCAGTAGATGTATTAATGAACAAACTGCTCCTTCTACAACTCCTTTATTTACTTACAGTACTTCTTAAGCACTTGCCGTCATAATGCCATTGTAACTGCGCTCTCCCATACCTTTCTGTAACAGCTGTATCCAAAGGGTATCAGAGGACTTCTAGATTTGATGTGGGGGACTTCCTTAAAAAGAGCTGTGTTGTGTTAATTGAGAATGAGGTGTGCTTCACAGTACCTTCCAAACTTGTCCAAATTTTACACATGTTTTAGGTTGGCCTCTGAAGGATTGTGCTCCACTGCAAGTAGAAGATTCAAACGGCACATACAATTTACTGAGATGATTATATTTCTTCACTGATACATCAGTACAGAGCACCTGTAGTCTACTGATCTCAGCTTTAGGAATTTAAAACACTATGTTTTTCAATTCTCTCTTCAACAAATTTGAGCAGTATATATCCATTTGATGTTTTGGGTTTGATTGTATCCAAACTGTTTTTATATGTGTATGACTTCTGACGAGTATAAACTATAAAGTTTCACAACTGTAGCTGTGCAGCTTGGGATAACTGACAGTACAGTTGGACAGGAGTTTTTCAGATCTACCCCTGAGTGAAGGATTGCGTGGGACTGTCACCATCAGATGAACAGTCTTGGAATTATAGGATAGATTGATAGTCATAAATAAAATGGGTCAGTGCCCCTTCCTTAGTTCTGAGGACCAAGTGGCATGGTTCAGCTTGCATCCTTGTGGCTACCCTTTCTCCCCTGGAAGAAGTGATTCAGTCTATTTGGAACAGGCTTTGCCACGTGCCTTCCATTGAATTGTGCATTCTTTGGGAGAAGGGTAGCTTTCACAAGCCAGAACCATGTCAGATAAGATGGGGACAGTGACTGAGTCCTGTTTCGTTTACTGGTATAGCTGTAGGTAGTACCTGGAGATACCTGCCTTAGGAACAGTTGCCCATCCTCTGGAAGACCAAAAAGGAAGGGAGGGAGCTGGTCTTTGTCTTCTCTACCAGTTTATGCATGTGCATGTGCCTACAAGATGCACAGAAGCATTTGGCACTATGGCTTGGCTATTTAGGCTGTCTCACTGGAACAGGGGAAAAAAATCAGTGACAACCATCCCTTTCCACTCCCCAGTCACCTACTTTGAGATCAGAGGAAGCAGTGATAATCAGTCTTCTCAAGTCTTCTGGGATGCCAGACCCTGGAAAGCTGCATATGGTTTACAGAAGGGAAGAAATCTCTCTGCGGTCTGTGTATGGCCCAGGTTACTATCAGCCCATACTGTTTCAAGACAAGACAGAAATTAGATGGGCACTAACAGCCTTTTCAGTTATGGAGCTTTCTCTTAAGGAGTTCCATTAGTCTAACTGAAGCTACTCACTAGCATAAAATAAGCTGTAAGTAAACTGGTGGTAATTTTTAATTCCATAGGTTATGTTCACAGACTTTAGAATTCTGTTTTGGCATATCTGATACAAATTGCTTCAGAGGATAACGTTCAGAGTTTTATCAAGCCATTAGCTGGTTATTAAATTTAAGTTTCATGATTCAAGGTAAAGACTATTTGAATAGGTTTTGGAAAGGTGTTTTCATTTTCTTTTTCAGGATTTCTTCAGGCACTTACCTCATTGGATCCAGCAGCACACAGCCATGAATGATGCTGGTAATTTTCTGATTGAAACATGTGATGAGACCATTTCCAGAGACCTTAAACAGCAGCTTTTGCTACTAAATGGAAGATGGAGAGAATTGTTTATGCAAGTTAAGCAGGTCTGTGTCATCATTATTTAAATTAGAAATGAATCCTTAACAGCAGTTTATTTTATTTGAGCTTTTCCTTTGTTTATCTCTTGGTTATACAGCTTTTTATTTTTATTTTTGGACATTTTCAGTGGGTACAAGCTGTAGTTTTCCTTTATGGTCTTCTGGCCTGATACAGTGAATATTTTTTTTAATGCATGTCTTCTTTTCTTCAAAGAAAATGATAGGTTTTAAGTAGCTATTGTTATTGTAAGCTCTGTAAAACTAAACAGTGAAAATGGTGAAAGTGGATATTTTTATTACCCTTTAATGAAAGTTGCATTCATTTATTGTCCTGCAACCCTAAGCAGGTACAATGCAAGTTAATTAACTAGTCAGACATTACTTCTGTCTTGTGCACACAGAGGCACTGATAGGAAATGAAAAAACTACTCTTTATCTCACGGAAGAGGTTCCACTGATTGGAAAAGAAGTGTTTCTTTATTTCCTCTTTAAAGCAAAGGGTAGATGTGAGATAAAATTACACAGAAGTATTTCACACCTCATGAACACATTAGAAAATATCTTTGCTAGAATCTATATACATCTAATGGTATTTTCCTCTTTGAGTGATTTTAAATAGCAGTTGCCTATTTGAAGATGCTGAATCTATTTTCTTTGCTGGCATGATTATTTCCATTGCAAGTCAAATTAAATGGAAAAGCAGATAATGACTGCACCTTTTTTCATTGTACCTTTTCCAAACTGTTGACTAGAATATTCTCAAACTTTATTTGCTATTGATATTTAGGGTGATTCACTGTGGAAACTGTAATCCCCAGCATGTAAATGTCTCTTCCTCTACTTATGCAGCTCCTTTCATGTGCTGGTTTTTATCACTGACTTGTCACCATTTCTGTCATACAGCTCTTTCCACTTTCTAAGACCTGTGTTTCCCCTTCCTCCAGCCAGCAGTTCTGTTATTGAAATTTCCCTCATCCTTCAGCTTTTCTAAACTTTCGTGTTCTATTCTTTCACTGAATTTTCAAAATTGATACTGTAGGTAATAAGAAATTAATTGAAATGATAATTCTCAGTTAGAAACAGATAAGAGTTTAGTGTTCTCCAAGTGATCCAAAACTTAAAATAAGCTGACCCTCTTGTATGAATGTTGTTCTTTTTAGTGTCAGCACTATTGAAACTAATGCGAATGATTAAGTAATATAGAGGATTAGTTTCCATTAATTTGTATTTTGTTGAACACAATTTTTCCAGCAAACAATCGCACTGAAAACATGCTAATTCTCTTAAGTCGTTATTTAATTGCCGGATGTTTCATTTGGAGTGGTTATTTTGTTTGTTTGTTTCTTTTTATGTTACATTTCCTTAGTATGCTCGAGCAGATGAACTGGACAAAATAAGGAAGGAATACTTGGATGGTGTTGGCCATTTGACAACTTTTATTGATGGAAGCAATAGGAAATTTTCAGTCCCTATAGAAGTGTCCTTCCTTGATGTCAAAATGCTTGTACAAGATTTAGAAGTAAGTGTCTTTCTTCCATTCCTTTCTTTCTCCTTCATAAGAGAGAAACTTATAACTATTTAATTCTGAGAGCATAAGATCATTTTAGTATACATTTCCATTATTTGTTTTTTTAACCAGTGGTGCTTTTTTGTATAATATATGCTATAGCCAATATAAATCATTGTATTCTATGAGTGACATTTACAGAGCATATTTCCAAAACACTGGCCCACTGGATATTTCTTTCTGTTTAGCTTCAAACTGCCTTCAGGTGAGCTGACTGATACCCTTTGGCACAGTTTTAAGGTATTTGAAATATGATCCAGTAGTCACTGAAATCAGCGATGAAAACAATTGATAATTGGAATAGATACCTTTTGTCTCTTGACAACAGACTTATATCTCCCATGAATGCATGAATGCTGCTACTAAAATATTTTTTGAAACATTTATTTCAGAATATTAAGCAGAAATTGCCTGCAATGGAAGCTCAGTACAAAATGGTAGCAAGAACAGTGCAACTTGTTACAAAAGAAGTTCCCCAAGAGGAAGTGAATGAAATGCTGGGAACTTTGTCAAGGATCAAAGAGCAGCTGGGCAAGGTTGCAAAATACTTTTTCTACTACACATGTTGACTGTTGAACTAATAAATAGTAAGCTCCCCTATGTGTATATATATATAACAATATATAGTTACTATAATAATAGTTGTTACTTCTTTTAGACATTAGGACTACCATCCTTAAGTTTAATGTTCTTTTCTGTAAGAAGTAATACAGCATCAGGATTGATCTGTTAGGCAGGTAGCAACTATATAAACCTACATGCAGAGGAAGCTGCTATTTATTGAACTTTTTTAATAATTATTTTTCTTTAAAATGGCCAAAGGTTAAGGAGTATTCCTGTGCCATGCTGTATGAATGCCAGCATCTGCTGTCTCCACTGGAAGAACTGGAGAAACAAATCACACATTTTTATGAATCTCTTGAAAAAGTCAATGAAATAATTTCTATCCTGGATCCTGAAGCACAACCTACAACTGTTCTTAAACAAAAAGCCCAAGTAAGTTTCAAAAACATCTTACAAAGATCTGCTGCCTCTGAGTATTTACAGTTAACTTTCTAGGAATTTGGATTGCAACTCGGCAAGCTGAGCAAATGTTTCTTCATATTCAGGTAGCAAACATAGCATATCCTAAAGTCAGCTAGGCATAAACATACAAAGATTGAACTTGTGTTCCCTCCTAGTGCCCGTGATTTTAATGCAATAAGTAAACATGAGACTTTTTTTTTTTAATCTAGTGGAAATTGGACTGAAGTATCAGAAATACATTGGATTTTTAATTAAGCAGATGAAATAACATGATCAGGAACTTCCCTAGGTTTCCTAGGAAGTTCCAACTGAACCCGAGGAAAAACTTCTTTCCTATGAGGGTGACAGTGCACTGGAACAGGCTGCCCAGGGAAGCTGTGGAGTCTCCTCCTCTGAAGGCATTCAAAACCCACCTGGATGCAGTCCTGTGCGACCTGCTGTAGGTGAACCTGCTTTAGCAGGTGGGTTGGACTAGATGATCTCCAGAGGTCCCTTCCAACCCCTGCCATTCTGTGATTCTTGGACAATTATGGAACTTTCTTAGAAGTCTGGAAGTGGTTTCTTTGAAGTGCATTGTAGTAGAATATTATCTTTTTTACCTGACCAATAAACATTTCATTCTGGAGGAATTCAGAGCTAGTCAGAACTCACTTGGAAAGGTAAATGAAAATATGAGGATCTTGTGTAGGAATTGGCATTTGTCCTTGTGTACGTGTGGTATATAGCCTAGAAATAGTACCTCAAAAGTGATGCACACGTTTCATTAGAGTCAGATTTGACAGGTGATAGAATTAAATGGATTTTTTTAATGGGAAGCAGAAATCTTTCAAAGCCATTTAGAGTCCGTTTAAAAAAAAAATTGGAACAAAAAGTTTCAATTTTGTGTGTGTGTATGTGTATATGTATACATATACATATATATATAAAATTTAGTTCAAGCCTATAATGACTCTGGAGATTTGCCCAATAATTCAACAAGAAGGGTATTCTCTTCCAGTAACTGCAAGTTTTTATTATATTTGGGTAAAAAACTATCTAGTGAGCTTGAATCGCGCCAGTCCATTTATCTTCATGAGTAAATCCTCTTCTGTTTATCAACGCCAGCTGAGTCATGTGTCCAACCTGCAGGTTAAGGGCCAGCTCAAAAGAATGCTCCTTTCCTCTGCTTCTGAAGGTTAATCTGCCCCAGAATATCATAATAAAAAGATATGTTTCTTCTGCAGTTTTTTGCCAACCAGGGAAACAAAATCTCCTCAATTACACGGAGTGTGATGGTTTCTGCATATCAGAAAGTAAACAGAGATTTGTGCTGAGGAATACACTGTTCCTTCAATAGCAGAACAGTTTCCTCACCACGGGATTTTTTAAACCTTTCTTTCAGCCTGTGCAACTTCATTCATGTATTCTTTTCTTCACTTTTTTTTTTTTTTAAAGAGTATAATTCTCATTGCTTAACACCATTTGTAATGAAATCTGAATTCAGGTAGCTGACATGAAAGGTTAATTTGTTGAAAGGCAAGAACTGTTAACATCTCAACCTGCTACTGAGATTTGTCATTCTTATGTCTATTGTTTTCACTGCTGCCCACTTACAATTACACCATAAATACAGTCATCCCATAAAATTAGATCACAGAATAATGTATTGACCTGTATTCTCTAAAACTACCCAAAAGGCTTGAATACAGTGTGTATTCCGTGTCTTGTTTTATAAATAGCTACAGCTCTATTTTGGGTATAGGACTCTGCACAGAAGGAGGAAGTTGTGTGGTCTCTGTTACTCCATACAACATTTTGTGCAGTCTGTTTGTCATGGTGCTTTGACCTCGTCCCTTTTGTTCTTATTGTCAAAAATTATCTTCCTGTTATTTTGCCAAACTTTTCTCTCCTTTGTTCCTGGCCAGGGTGGATATATGTTTTTTTCTTTCAGGATTTGGTAGCTTATCAAGAAAACTGCAAGAAAGATTTGTCCCTGATTGAGAGAAACAGTCAGAGTATCCTGCAGTGTGTGGCTTCAAGAGAAATGTTGCAGCATTTCCATCAGTCAACATTTCAGAAGAAAGTTACACAAGTTCAGATTACTTTTCAGGTAATTATATCATACGTTGGTGCATATTTTTGAAAGCTTGTTTGTATGCAGCTGATCCGTCCTACCATATCTCAGTTTCGTCACTCTGTAGCTACTGTCCTAGAGACCTCTCCTCTCTGGTGTCAAGTTATTAATTAAGGATTTGTTTGTATTAGGTAATAAGTGGTCAGGGGACTGTTGGTCATATTCTCCATGCAGTTATTCAGAGGTGGGCCTCCCTCAGAGGGATTTAAGAACTTTCATGCATCTCAGGCTCCTTTGGAACGAGGAACCTGAAATCCACCTGTTAGGGCTGCACTGGTTTTTGTTTCTCTTGGCTTTGTTATCTTGGCTAATTATTTGCTTTATATTCCCATACATGCCCTTTCACACAAAGCGTGGAAGATGGAAGCTTTTGCAAATGCTATTATTGCTGGGCTTTGTATTTCCTCAGAAAACATAGTGGATTGTGAATGTAGAAAGTTGCAAATATGTAATTGCATTTGTTAATGTAAAGGTTTGTACTTTGGGCTGTAATCCCCGTACCTGTAGAGCTCTATGTTGTTATTAGCCATATTGGTATTTTCAGGGCTACTTAGCCCCAGTCCAGACCCACTCTAGCATAAAATTAACCATTATCTTGGAATCTGATCTCCAGATGCTGTGATCTGTTAGATTTGTTTTCAGGCAATTATTGTTCAGTATAGGACTATCTAAACTGAATTTTAAGCTGCAGAAAATCACCTCTCAGTAAAGAGCTGTCCCTGAGAGGTGGATTTCAAAGTTTATATTGTATTTTGTGGGTCATACTTAAAGATCAGTGGGTTTTGATGTACAGATACAGTTGCAGCTTGATAAATTTACCATGTTAATTATTCTGTTCCTATAAAGATGTATGGCCATTTATCTCCTTTTGTGTTAGAAAATAAACCTGTAAAACATGGCATAACCATACAAAATGTGGCATAGCTGGAGTAAAATATTTATGGATCTGCAAACTGCCATTTTCTCATGTAAAGAATACATTCCTATATGATTCTACTATTATACACAGATTTTTATCAAGAAACTTTAAAAAGGATTAGCAAGATGTTTAAGTCAAGAACTACGGATTTGATCAGCTCATTGGGCAAAATTGTTACAATTCCTTACACTGGCATTTGTAATCAGTGAGGATGGTAAGGTGTATGGTTAATAAGCAGTGTTGGAATAACCTTGCTGCAGTTGAACTGGTGAACTGTTCATTTCTCCTGGTAAATTTTGTTACTTGCTTATGGAATTGTAACCACTGGATAATGCAGTGCGCTGGGACAGACTACAAAGCAGAGTAATGAAGAGCTGTGACTAAAGTTTCAAAAGAAGAAGATTTCAGAGTAGCAACTAAACCACAAAATCTGCTGTCTTTCTTTTAAGCTACTTTCTGCCTGGTTGCTCATCTAGCTTACTGGTGGGATAATCATACAAATCTCCTCTGGGTCAGAACACCTGTAGCATGGAACTGGTAGCTTAGGAACTGGATTCATAGGTCAAACCACCTTCATGTAGAGTCATGTAGGAGGAGGCAGTCTGCTATCAGGGAAAATGGAATGGCAAGCTTTTAGCCATGCCAGGCGCTTTACATATGAAAGCAAGCTTTAGGAAAGGAACACTAGCCAAATGATGGAGGCATTCTGAAGGTATCAGAGACATCTGTATTAGATAGCTACCCATTTTTATTTGAATGAAGTATGACATTAGCATGAGTCTTAGTGTAAGTATTAAAAATGGGAAAAATGGGAGCATGAAAGGAGAAGCACTCATGAATGGCTTATATTTGAAAGAGAAACCAATCGAATGCATTTCTTGTAAGATCGTGGTAAAAGAGAGCAAATAAAAGTCAGTGAGAAAGTGCCAGCTCATTTTCTTTGCTTATAACTCAGAATATGGTCAGGAAAGCTGGTGACTGGAGGAAAAACATAGAAGCAAATAGCCGTTTGATGAAGAAATTTGAGGAGTCTAGAGCAGAACTGGAGAAAGTAATACAGATTGCCAATTGTTGTTTAAAAGAAAAAGGAAATCCTGAAGAACTTCTCAGGAAACATAGCGTGAGTAAATTCTCTGACCTTCCTCATGGAAATCTTTGAGTGCATGACATACAAGTGAAAAACCTACTTAATTTTAAAATCGATGCGGATTTCTTTCCTGTATAGAAGTTATACAGATCAGGTCAAACTAATGTTAAGATTGAAAAACAAAAAGGAAAAAAGATCACCCCTCTTATTGGTGAATGTAAGCAACCAGAAGGTGAAGAGAGAAGACCCCTTAGAAATTGGGGTCGGTTTACATTTTGCAGTCCATGCATCCACCGCTTTTTTTTTTTTCAGATGAATATCTTTGTCTCTATTACAACCATTACTTATGCATGTAGCTTTAAAATGTATTCTTGTTAAAATACCATCTCAGTGTACTGGCTGAGAATAAATTAATTTTCTGGACTTTAAATAGCAAGAAATAGTTCCTTCCATAGGTCAGGCTTCAATTCTTCAATGCAGCAGAAGTAACCTTGAAACTTAGAGTGTGTTAGGGAACTTAATTTTGGCAGGTTACCATATCAATAAGGAGCCTCATCTTCTCACCTTCTCACTTTCCCCCTCCACTTCAGGAATTCTTTAACCAGTTGGATCAGAGAGTCCTAAATGCCTTTCTGAAAGCATGTGATGAACTTACTGACATCCTCCCAGAACAAGAGCAACACAACCTGCAGGAAGCTGTGAGAAAACTCCATAGGCAGTGGAAGGTTAGTGACATTGAATGGAGTCTCTGGAAATTTTAAGTCTTAACTTTGGAGTGTTTCTGCATGACCTATATGTTGAAAAAAATTGAAATAAAAAAAAAAAAAAAAAAAAGAATAGGGGCGAGTTTTTCTTTATGCTGATGTTGGATGATTGTAGTTGACTTTCCCAAACTTAATAAAACAAATTTGTAAGAGATCAGGCTCCCAGTTTAAATTGTGTCTTCTGCCAAATCCTGTTACAAACATTGCTTCAAAGCTATGGAATTTTTTGACTGCTACAGCATGTTGCAGGTCAAACGTGGAGTGATGGATGAGTGGTTTCTCATTACCATGCAAACAGGAACCTCTGGAAGCAGTTGTGACTATACCTTCACTATTATTTTTTGCTTTATTATTTTATACAGGAAATATTTGGTATATCTTGCCAAGACTCAAGATGTCTCTGTGATGTGCCTTGTACATACGTATTCTGGTCCCCAAAAACTTATGACCTTATGATATATCGAAGAGATATTGGTAACAGAGTTGCTTTGTTTACTTAGATGAATACAGAGACCATCCCATCTGTTCATGCATATATATCCTTTATTTTCTACAGTAGCAGGTTTTAGATTATTTATTTGTAGTAACTTCAAACTGAGATAATGGGAGTAGAGTTTTATCCCTGTGCTTGTTTATTACCTCTGTGGGTGTGTAGGATCTTCAAACAGAAGCCCCGTATCATTTGATCCACTTGAAGATTGAAGTACAGAAAAGCAAGTTCCTGGTCACAGTGGAGGAGTGCAAAGCTGAACTAGCTCGACAGAACAAGGTGTTATCACGAGAAGGCAATGAAAGGATGATCGAGGAACACATGGTATGAATTATATGCCACCACGTGGGCATTTACAGAAATACATTTCAATGACAATAATAAAAAGGTCTGACCAGCTCTTAAGCCACTAAGCACTCTGTGCACAACTAAATCAGATCAATCCTTCAGGCCTTTAACAAAAATCTTTATTTGAGCTTAGTACAGTTTATTACGAATATATAGATATGCTTTGTGATTTCTTCCAATTCATATTTTTATTGGATTTTCTGCTTTGTCACCCATCAGTTGTTCTTCGGTGACAAGGGACCTTACCAGCTTTGTGAGAAAAGGCTACAACGGATTGAAGAACTATGCCAAAAACTGCCGGTTTCTGATCCAGTGAGGGCTACATTGGAAAGCAGCCAACGAATCCTGAAGGAGCTCAAATCTCAGATAGACAGCACATACGTAAAATTAACAGAGCACTCGGACAACTGGAAGGGCTATAACAACAGGTGTCAGCTCAATTGCTAGCTGGGTCTCGTAAAGCCTTATGCGTGGTCACTCCTCTAAATGTCATCATAGATCAGTACCTTGTCAAGAATGATACGGTGTTGTTAGCTGTGCTTTATATAGTAATTCCACAAATTATAGTGGGGTTTTGAGTGGATTTTATAATTTTTGGCTTAAATTCAAAAGGTTACTGTTTGGTGGTAGTGATTTTTGTCTGACTTTTTTTTTTGCTTTGCATTATGTGTTGTTTTATTTCAGATTTTCTGAATTGGCAAATTGGGTTTCATCAACAGAAAGAGAGCTAAAGAAGATAAAGGAAAGTGTCAATGATACTGCCAAATACAAGCAATTTAAAGCATCTGTGGGGGTGAGCCCTTGGATTATATTCTAATAAAGCTACAGTCATTGCTACTGGGACTCTGATAAAACTGTATTCTGAAACACTGCAACTCTTTTACTATGGAGAGCATAGTAGCTCTGGGGGTTCGTTATATTCTTTAAAATGCTTCCAGGAGAAAGTTTCACATGCAGCAAAGTGTGGCAGAAGTTCCTACTTTTAGTAATTTAGAGAATGTGTATTCAGAACATCTGAAATACAGAAGCAGATAGAATAAATAGTTGCCCCTCATCCTTCTGCGTGCAAAGTTAATAGGGCTGTGCAAAGAAAAGCCAGAATTTTTGAACTGGGTTTTTTTAAAGAATCAAGTTACTGTCTTACATTTAGAGAAAGCTTCTGTATTAAAAATTATCTTCTACAGTAGTATGACAGGAAAGCAAAGATATTCTACCATTCACTTCTGCATTGATGACTGGTAACAGTAGTGGTAGAATAGTTGAAGTTTGAGTCGTTTGGTTGAATTAGTTTTAGGCAATAATTTACTGGGTCACTTGGGACCTAGCTTGACCCTTATTTCATTTTTTACTTCACATACTAGGAGCAAAAATAGGAATGTCACATGCTGTAGAAGTTTGTGTGAAAGTCATGAGCAGGTTGTGAGGCCAACTGTGCAAATAAACATCATTAGGATGAGCTTGATAAAGCAGATGGACTTTTAGCTTAATGGGTGCTTCTGCTCCAAAAAGTCAGATTTACTCATGCAGTTTCACTGCTGGCAACTTCTCATCAGCACTGGCACAAAGATATAAGTGAACTACTGGGTGAAAAGAGGGAAAAAGGTATTTAAATAGGAAAAAAATTGCACAGAACCTGATACCACTTGAAATTTTAAGTTTGGGCAAGTCAGCATTTAAGATTTAAATAGTAGCTAATAAATTTGATGAGGTTGCAAGATCTTCCTTGAATGGATATCTTGCCTTTACACTTGAGAGCAGCCGTCTCCAGAGACTGCAAATTGCTATCTCTTTTCCAATTCGTCTCTCAATTCCCCAGTTTCTAGCAAGAGATCCCAGCTGTTGGGCTTCCCTACCTTCCAGCTGTTGACTGTCGTCTGCGTTATCCCAGCATTGGAGCATCCAGGCAGCAATACGCTCACCTGGCTGGTGGCTGTAATCTTTCCGCATATCTTGAAGTTCTGGTGAGGTTAAGGACCGGGTAGTTTCTGCTTCCTGTTTGATTTCCCTTACTTCTTCCTCCAGTTTCCTTGTTGAAGGACCGGCTTCTTGATCAGATACTTCTTCCTCCCTTGTTAATCAAGGATATGGACCTGTTGCTTTTCTTATGCACTGTTTCTTCTTCACTACTGGGGCAATCACTGTAGTCGTTGTTGTTTGGTTTCCTATCTCAGCCATGGTGTTCTCAGATGTAGTTTGGGTCCCTG